TGTCGTTCTGTTGGGCACAGGGCTGCTATGGGTCAGAACAGATTCAGTGGTACCTAATGAAAACAATACTGTAGGTTAAGGTTGGGGGGACGCCCGCCAGACTGGTGAGCCAAAGACAGCTTTGCTTTTACAACTATATGTAGTACAAACACCTGCTGTGTAGCCTTACATAGGATACTTAATTTCTCTTTTTCCAAATTCCCGCTCCCTCAAATTGGGGTAAAAAAGTGTTTTCTTATATCCTTACATGATAATTTAGCATCAGAGGAGATGACATAGTTAGGGTTTGTGTCAACGCGACTGGGCCTGTAGTCTCAGAACTTTGGTAGTTGAAGCCTCCCCTATAATGTGACCTAACAATGTCATCAACTCCATGATGGGATCTCCCGTGGGCAGCATGGCAATTGTAAAAGAATTAGGGAGGGTTTCAACCTCTTTACTCAAGTCACAACCCTGATGCAGTTGAAAGGAAGTGTCTGAGGGCATGTGGGAAAGGTTGTCTGTTCTTGCTGGTGTATATCTTGTGATTCTCTGGACTTGAGTCAGTGGAGTACCATGTTGCCTGCTGACTCCAGGAGTTATCAGCAGTCTGCTCTAGTGCCCGCTGACCTTGGATTCACTTATCTCTGCAACCATGAGCCTGGCCTTCTGACCTTGGATTTGTCCACCTTGCCTTCACCAGTCTGTGCGCTTGCTGCTTCCAGCTTCATTAGCCCCAGTGGATGCATGAGTCAGGAAAAGCTTCCAGCTTAACATGCAACCCACGGACTTGAACTAGACTTCTCTTGTCAACTTCTATAGCTGCATGAGCCAATATTTCTTGGTATACATTTAAAACACGGGTTTTGTTTCTCTAGAGAACCCAGGCTAACACAGGAGGCAACCTAGTGAAGCAGCAGGCTTAATCTTAGTGGGAAATGAGAAATCAAACCCACGGCTGTACATTCTGACTCATAGCAACCCGAGAGCACAGAGTAGAACAGCTCAGGGATTCTGAAACGGTAAATATCGACAGTCTAATCTTTCTTCCTAGGGAGCAGCTAGTGGGTCTAAACTTCCGGTTTGTGCCCATAGCACAAACGGGGCTCTTTTGGGAAGTGAAAGAAAACTCAATGGAAAGACAGAGATTTGTGAATCAGGAAACACATTAATAGCGCAAGGCAGGATATTGTTGTGTTCCAAATTGCAAGAAGATAGGCTTTTATTTCATGGAATAAACAAAGGAATACGTGGTCACAGGCGTAATGGGATGCATGACAAAAAGTTACAAGGGGTTATTAAGCTACAACCCTTCTTAACTTTATCATGCCTATTCCCTAAGCTCCTAGAACGGTGGTTCTCAGGCTATGTATATAGGTCGCGACCCCTTTGGGGGTCAAATGACCCTTTCACAGGGGTTGCCTAAGACCATCAGAAAACATATTTCCGATGGTCTTAGGAACCAAGACACTGCTCCTATATCTGTCTCCTAACAGGTCCACCCACGTGCAGCTATGCCCACATCTGAGTAACCGGAGTGAAGATTGTTACTCATGCTACACCGACCATGCTTCAAGACAAAATTTAATTGATTTGTCATTAGAAATAAATATTTCACAGTAAATAATTACATATTATTTTTGTGAATCACTATGCTTTAATTATGTTCAATTTATAACATTGAAAATACATCCTGAGTATCAGGTATTTACATGATGATTCATAACATGTAGCAAAATTCCAGTTATGAAGTAGCAACGAAAATAATTTTATGGTTGGGGGTCACCACAACATGAGGAACTGTATTCAAGGGTCGCGGCATCAGGAAGGTTGAGAACCGCTGGCCTAGAACATGTTGGTCAAGGCATTATTGGATAAATGAAGTAAATACTCTCGACAAACATATCTTATCAACGTATTCCTCCAAAAAATCTAAAATCTTGACCTTTGTTCCTTTTGGTTCATAAAGAGTAAAATTATTCAAAGAGGTTAAATTGTCTCTTTAGAATTGCAGATGCTGTAGTTTGATACAAAGTGGAATTTTATTTAGATGTCGGGCAGCTATTTAGCAATGCCACATGCCTGAGTTTGGGGTTGGCTCATGCATTCTCCTTAAAAAACAAACAAACATATATATATATATATATACACACACACATATATGTATATGTATATCTTTATGTATATATGAGGCAGACTAGCTAAAGAAACTCCATTTTTGTAAACTGCTAACTAACTTGCCGTTCCTCCCTGCCATCTCAGAACGTTGAATGCTAGTTGACCTGCCCGTTCTCGCTCCTCTTATGGGAGATTAATTTTAGAATGTACTC